CCACCCCGCCTTCCCTCTGAGGTTCATGCTTCTATGTCTCTGGGTCTATTTTTGATCATCGGTGTATTTGGTTCATTACCTTCCACATATGAGTGAGATCCTATGAGGAAACCCCAGTCTCCTTCCGAGGCCCAGTGGCCTGAATGACCCCTAACTGGACACCCATTCTGCCTGATGGCAGTCCCCTCCTCACCTGAACGGGGAGACCTGCTTCCGGGTGGGCAGCAGACCCTTCACTTGCTCTTTGGTGTAGCCGAGGTGCCTCAGCAGCGAGTTCTGCTTCATGATGTAGAGGAGTTCCGCCAGGAGGAAGGTGTCTTCCTCACTCAGCAGCTCCTCGTTGATGAGATGGTCAAAAATATCCAAGGCCGAGCTGGCCTTCTCCAGCTTCTTGTGGGGGACAAAGTCTCGGCAGAGAAACTTCAATTTTTGCACCTCTAGGTCTCCAAGGTTTGAATCAATACTCAGAAGCCTTCTGCGCAGCTTCTCCCTACCGTTATCCTCCGGACCGAAAATCCAACTCTGATTGCGAGATGACATGGCCAGTCTGGAAAAGACAGAGAGATGGGGTAGCCTCCACTTCCCAGGTCCTCTCCCGCCTACAGCCTCCTCCCTCCCGGGCACTAGACTTTCCTGGAAACGTAAAAATTACTGACAGGAAAATGATTGTGCAGTTATTTCAAAAACCAATAGCCAACACTTGTGTGTAAACCCGTTGGGAGGTCCGCGGGGAGCTTTGGGGGAAGCCATTTACCCTGACTTCTCTGAAATCAAAATGTCCCCGTAGAAGCGAGTGAAATGGAGGACAACTCAGCACAACAGTTTCCGTTGGAGTTCGCCTTCCCGTTGGAGCTCTTTTGTTTTTAAAACTATTTTTTATTTATTGATCTTGAGAGAGAGAAACATCGACTTGTTGTTCCACATATTTATGCATTCATTGGTTGATTCTTCTTCCGATTGGAGCTCTTTTGTTTTTAAATTTATTTTTTTATTTATTGATCTTGAGAGAGAGAAAAATCGACTTGTTCCACATATTTATGCATTCATTGGTTGATTCTTGTATGTGCCCTGACCGGAGATGGAACTGGAAACCTCGGCGTAGGACGTTCTACCAACTGAGCTACCCTAGGCCGAGCTGCCAGGGTCTGGTTAGAACTCTTAAGTCATTGCCATCAAATGGCAGAATTTGCACTTAGATTTATGCCCCACAGTTTAGAAATAAAGCAACGGGGGTTTATATTTCTGAAGTGCTTACCAACCCAAGGATGGCAAGGTGATATTACTAACCAGAACAGGACAGGTTTGTAACCCACAGGAAGAATAACCATAATCCTAGCTCCCAGAAATACAGGGAGGTTTTAGACAAGGATTGCTCAGATCAATATAGAAAGTCACAAATAACTAAGTCAATATTTCCACATAAGCAGTGCATAAACTGGTCTTTTCTACACTAAATTTCATACTAATAAGAGGATCAATAAATTGACAACATTTTTCAATGTAATATTATTCATCATATAAGGACAAGGTATGTATCCACTATGCAAGACTTGGCTATTTAGAAAGAAGAAACTACTTTCTAAAGGAAAGAGAACATAGCAAAAATGAAACATCAATAACAAAGAGTGGTTATATCTCGATGGTATAATTATATAAAATATAAATTTTCTTCTGGGCTCCTGTGTGAGTTTCTCAAATCTTATGCAATAAACACATATTACTTTTATTATTAGAAAAAGGAAACCAAAAAAATGGGGTCATCCATGGGATCGTCTTATTCTAACTCATTATACATTTGCCTTGAAGTTTCCTGAAGATCCTAAATCTCTCGCTTCCTGAATGGAGACAAGCGTATTCCTGCCGGTAAAAGCCTGTGTTGAAGCCTTCCTAAGCCTTTTTAAACTTTCATTTTCCATGGGGAGGCTAATAAATCCAGGCAGAAACCGTGCCATTGCTGAAAACAAGAGTTTTTGCAAGTTTCTATGACAGAAAGCAAGGGGGAAATGCTGGACTGTATGACCCCGGGCAGAGGAAAGTAGTTAATTACATACCTTCAAATCAGATTCCACGGATCCTCTGGAAGTAAGTGGTTCTTGGGAAAATTACCTGAAAACAAAGTTTTTAAGGAATTAGGATCCTCTCTGTGCTCCAAGTTTCAAGAAAGCTCCCATTTACACGGGAGGAAAACTTCAGGCTTGCTGCTGACTCTGCAATGAATACTGGCCCCTCAGGTTTAATATTAATTTCCTGCTGATGTCATCGCTGCCTTTTCCCTGCCCCTTTCCCTTTGCTGGCATTAGGATAACCCTGATCAACAGCACCTCCTAAAGGCAGACGCGTCCATTTTTCCAACCACTTCCTTCCCCAAATTCCCTTAAGCTTTAAAATAAAACCCAGAATCTCATGAATAGTAGTCACCCATCTTAATCTTTTCTCAACAACTCCATTTACAAATTAACAACAACAACAACAAAAATTTTAAGCAAAAAGGAAGAAGAAAAAGAGGAGGAGGCGGTGGAGGGGGAGCTGAGAGATAAGCCAATCTGAGGTATTTACAAAGAAGTCAAATAACAGTAGACAAAACTGATGCAGTCTCTGCCCTCACAGCGCATTCAGTCCAGCAGGAAAGAGAATTTGAAGACATTATTTCTAAGAACAAAAACAATACCTAACACTCACCAGTATATCACTATGTGTCAAGCATGCTTTGTTCACTAAGTCACCCAATGACCCCTTTTTTAAGACATGAAAACTCAGACACAGAAAGATTTGCCCAAGGTCATACAACGAGCTAGTGGGAGACCCAAACCTCACCCAGCAGGTTTGGCTCTAAATCACTACATGATAATTCAAATGTTGCCAAGTTCTGGGAAGAATTCCAGAATCGTGGATACGTCATCTCTGAAAATAAGTAAAATTTATTATGCTTTATTAGCAAATGTTAAACTGTCATTTCCAGATCCTAGGCATCATCTAGAGAACCTCTGGGTTTAAGAAAGACAAGTCCTGCCCTGGCCAATTTGGCTCAGCGGATAGTGCATTGGCCTGAGGACAAAAGGGTCCCAGGTTCGATTCCAGTCAAGGGCTTATACTTAGTTGCAGGCTCCTCCCTGGCCGAGGCCCTGGTCCAGACTTGTGCAGGAGGCAACCAACCGATGTGTTTCTTTGACATCGATGTTTCTCTTTTCCTCTCTCTAAGAATCAATGGGAAAATATCCTCGGGTGAAGATTTTAAAAAAAGAAGAAGAAAAAGAAAAGAAAGACGAGTCCAAGTGGTGATGGTCGCACAACAGGTAAACGTATTTAATGCCACTAACGTGCACCCTTAAAAATGGTTAAAATGGGGCTTCCAGTCAAGAGGCGGCATTGGTAAATGTGACACTCGCACCCTCCCACAACCACATCCCTTTGCCCAGAGTGGACAGCTTTATTCCCAGGCCCCCAAAGTTATCCAATAAGCCCCAGAAGGGATGGACATGAAATGGCCAAGAGAGCAAAGGCTTATTTCAAAACCTTTGTCCCTCAGTTCCAGGAGGCAGCATTTGACAATGGAAAGCTCTAGGACAGTGGTCAGCAAACCGAGGCTCGCGAGCCGCATGCGGCTCTTTGGCCCCTTGAGTGTGGCTCTTCCACAAAATCCCTCGTGCGGGCGCGCACGTACAGTGTGATTGAAACTTTGTGGCCCATGCGCAGAAATCGTCTTATTGATGAGAACCTGGAATCATGCCTAAAATTAAAAACAACAACATACAAACCTGACTTACCCAAACTTTCCAAGGAGATGCAAGGCCATTGTTCACATTAGTGTTTGTCAGTCATTGTCATGATTGATTGATTGATTGATTTTTGAAATACAATTTCCATTTATTTCCCCCCCAGAGAACTTTTCTTCACTCTTTAAAGACTCAGCTCCTTACATGGGCTTTGGTGGAGGTCGTGGGGCAGCACCCGCAGGTCTGAATCGGGGTGGGGGTGTTCGGTCCTTCCGGGCTTCACGAGAACGATTCCTGACTACCTTGCTGTGAATGGCACAGCTCACACAGTAATGCAGCTTCACATACAGCTTGGGAAGCACATAGGCTAAGATGGAAAAGGAACAGAATATTAAATGCATGTAAATGCCTGTCAGCATACCTACACCATTTCACTCCCAAGTTCAGTTTCTGATGCCTAACTAAACACATGCAATTTCACAAACGAGTAACACTCTAATTCTTCCTATCACCACGGGGACCACGCCCACATCCTAGATAAACCAAACACCCCGCTCCTTCAGCAGCTGCACCAGCCCCAACACCTACCCCTGGGCATTTCTGGTTGCCTAAATTTTAGGCCCTAAAAATAGCCAATTTGGCCCGGCCAGTTTGGCTCAGTGGATAGAGCGTCAGCCGGAGGACTGAAGGTCCTGGGTTCGATTCTGGTCAAGGGGATGTATCTCGGTTGCAGCCTAGTTGGCCTCCCTGCCAGCCTGATCACCTCTAACCACCTCTGCCTGCTGGCCTGGTCACCCCCAACTGCCCCTCCCTGCTGGTCTGGTCGCTCCTAACTGCCCCTCCCCACCAGCATGGTCGCCCCTTACTGCCCCCCCCACCAGCCGGCCTGGCCATCCCCAACAGTCCTCCTCTGCTGGCCTGGTCGCCCCTAACTGCCTCCCTACCAGCCTGGTCACCCATCACTGCCCCCTCTGCAGGCCTGGTTGCCTCTAACTGCCCCCCTGCCAGCCTGGTCACCCATCACTGCCCCCCCTGCAGGCC